TGCAGCAGACTGTAAGAGATGTGTATTAGTTGTTGATGATGAAGTGCATTGCTTACTGGCTTCTCTGTGAGTGTCATTGGGGAGGTGCATTCCTCGCTTAAGCGTAATAATGTGGCTATTTTTTTCGTTTGTGCACTCTTTACGATGAGTTACAGTGAGGATGAAGCAGAGATACCGGCCTCGGTGGGTACTAATTTGAGGTACATGAAGGACCAGACAAATTCTACACCTGGCTATGAAATGTTTCAGGGAATCTGGATTTTTTAAGTTGGAATGGAAATTAGAATTTTTAAAAAATGCTTTGGAAAGTTTCAGGAAATTAAAAGTTTTTTAAGTTGAAATGAATTTCTTTTTCAGGTTACTACCAGTGGGTGCCTTTCATTTTGGGTATACAGGGCATTTTATTCTATCTACCCTGTCTTATATGGCAACTACTGAATTGGCAATCAGGTACAATTAAAAATTTCAGTATTCAAATTTAATTCCGATACTTTTTTAAATCATTTCATCAAAAGTGCCTATCTTTAATTTTTTTTATTTTATTTGTTCACGTAGTTCATGGAAGTAAAAAAGCAAAGCGTTTTTTTACCTTACATAAAATTTATTTGGTTTTTGTCTGTACAATTTTACTCAGTTGCGATGCCCACTGAACGAATTGTGGGGAGGTTAGTTGCCCAATTTGCGAAGTTGAGTTCTTGACCTTCAGCATAAGAGTAGCTCTGTTTGCCACCACTTCATGCTTGCGCTCACATCTTTACAGACTGGAATCTCTCCTGTATTCGTCTCTACGAGAGGCGGAAGTACTCGTAATACCGAAGGCAGCAAGTAGCAAGAGCAATTCTCTCTGGCAAAATTTTCGATGCCTTCCTCTTTCGAGGATTATTTACAAGCAAGCTAATGACTGGTTTAACTCCTTACCATATGCCTGTACTAAGTTACCACGAGACTAATGAATGAAACTTGAGGGATTGGTATTCTTACCGATGGTGTTGAACCCCCGAATACTGCACACAACAGTACTGCTCCTCACATTTTGCTCCTTCAGCAAGTTTCATATATTTTATCCACATTTGAGCATCAGAATATCTGTAAATAATTCCAATTTTTTTCGGCTTTTTCCAGGAATAGCAGTAAAAGGCATTGTTGTGATGTCACAGGATGTGAGTAATATGCAATCCGAAAAAAGAAAGGATTCAGTTGAAGTTGTAGCCTCGCACATCTACGATTCACTAAGAGCACAGCGAAAACTTAGCCGCCGCGGCCCCATTGCATCATTCCTCCAAAAGGTTAGTATCTTGAAAGTCATCAGTTCCTTCAGAAATATTTGCTGGCAATTTGCCAGTGAAAACGAACTTTGTTTTTGAAAACGGAGCTCAGGAGCATCACTAAGAAGATAAGTAAAGTTCTGTACAGTCTCGAATCCCGAAGCGCACTCACTCTAACTTCAAACGAACTGAAGCTTTTTTTGCGACTTTGATAGAAACTTGTCCTGCGTGAAATGGATTTTTCCAGACACATCAAAAATACAAAGAAAGCCCGGGCAATCGGTGAAGGTAATTCACACTAGTGATCTTAATGGGATGTTCCATATGTTGGGCTCCTTCGATGTTGGGTTGCACGT